CAGACCCACTTAGCAATCAACCATGTATATATATATATATATATATAGAGAGAGAGAGAGAGAGAGAGCACAAACCAGGGAATGAGAGGATAGCTTAGATCGTTTGTTGAGGGGGCCATGTTTGTCCTCCAAAGGGTTCTCCACCTCCAGCTTCACTAGCACCATTTTAATGCTTTGAGATTCCAATTCCGGCAAAGATTTTCCAAAATTCATCAATTGAACCATCAATCTGTCTCGATCAACTGCGTATTTGATCCCAAAGACCTCCAAAAATAGAAATTCGAAGGAAAAGCGAGTCGATTAGGAGAATCTAAGAAAAAGAAACCCTAGAAAAAGTTGTGTTAGACTGAGTGCTTTCTTCGAAGCCCAATAAGTCTTTATGGAACTGATAGCGAGAGAGAGAGGACTCACTGAACTATATAAATCGATCTCATGCGCTTCGGGAAGTAGCTCTTTACATATGCTCCAAACTATGTGTTATTTTAACACAAATATGGGTGTGGGATTGAGAGACCTTAGACATCACAAAATAATATTGTGAATCTCTTTCATTACTAAAAATAGGAGAGGGACCTTAGACTAATTTTTTCTAAAAAATAACAAATAAAAATTAAAGAGGACCAACCTGTTAAATATCCAAATTCAAAGTCCATAAAATCCAATAATTAGAGCATTTTAAGGGCTCAATTATCAGTCCACAAAAAATCTTAAATGACCCAATATGGATAAAGCCCTAAATTATAGCCCAATTTCTTTTCTATTCTGGACCTACAAATTGCAACCCATTTAACTATTAAAAATTGCTTCAAAGTGCTCAAAGTATTAAGGATTGTTTTGGGTATGACTTATAAACTGATATTTATTATTTATTATAGAAAGACATGTATAAAAATAGAAAGGTAATATGACTCAAGTAAATTCATAAGTCAATAAATTTATTTTTTTAGATGTTTTCATAAGGCCTAAATCTAATTTCACCACAAGAAGGCTTTGACGAATCAGTTTTCGTAATGTTAACGTTTTGTTGAGCACTGAGTTCCAACAATTTAAAGCTATTTTGAGGTGATGAAAAATTAAGGCCTTGTTTGGTAGGTAACATTTACATCTACAACTTTTTATTTATATTTATAAAATTTTTGAAAACTGTAAATAAAAATTTGTTTAATTTTCGTTTTCATTTTTTAAAATTTGTAAGTAGTTTACAAAAGTACATAAAAGCCGACCACCACCCATTATTAGCTACCATCGCTAATGAAATCCTCCACTAACCACTTTCGGCCACCGCTTGCCATCGCCACCAACTAGCTTCCATCAACGGTAACCACTTTCTGATATCACATCTTTTGATTGTAACGTTCCCATGTAAATGACATAATATGATTAACCCATTCAATTTAAACAATCTTAATTCAATTGATCAAATCTCTACGTTTGTATTTCAGTTCATATAAGAGATTTACAAAGAAGTCCACATGCGATACATATTTAATCTTCTTGAAGGGTGAATCCATAGTATGTGAGATGGTTTAAACAAAAAAAATAACACCAAAAAGAATGCCCTAGGGACTACAAGTTCCAAGACTTAAGTCCGATTATACAAAGATGATTATCAAAAACTCATACAAGTAAAGCCATTGGCTTGTCAAAAATAACTATAAAGAAAAAAAACCTCATGCTCTCAAAACACATCCCTCGCCTTTAGCTAGGCGGAATCGTCACGTCATTTTCTGCACAAATCCACAAGGAGTGAGCACAAAACCCAATAGGAATATCTTAACAAAGTGTATATATATATATACTTAAGCAGTCATATAACATGAATGACACGCAATGTCATGCTTCAAAATCTATATTTTTGTTCTTTTGAAACCACATGCAATGCTCATTTCAAAAATTCATTATTTTAGTAAATTTAAAATGTACAAACGGGGCTGTAAATATGACTCAGGTAATCCTTAAGCTGATGTCTGCAAGTAGGCATATCAAGCACTATTAATCCCCACTTTACCGGTTCCTAATTAGAAGACACGTGGTACTTACTCCACGTGTATTTTCGATCTTTTACCCTGAACACTCAGGTCAACTTAAACAATACTAATCCACACCCTCTATTGAAACTTGCCAAACGTATTTACCTCAAAACATCTTTCAGATCATCAATTGATTTTTCAAAACAATAAATCAATTTTCAAAACATAGCCATAATAATCAATATTCAAAACTATGCAAATGAATGTATGCAAATGTAATTATACAATTCTCATGTTTCTCAATATTATGTCCTTAATACAATACAATCATCAACATCTCTCAATTTTCTCAATTTAAAAATCAATAACCATATCCATGTGACATATGACACAATCCATATTCACAATGCTATACAATTTTCTAATTTTTCATGATCCAAGTATTGTCATTATACTATCCATGGCGATTTCTCAACAAAAATCCATCCATTTCATAGATGATTTAATAACATAATAACATATGATTTTTCTTCATCATTCTCTACATAATCTCATGATCCCATAAGTTTTTCTTCAATAATTCCAACTTTTTCCCAAATTTCAAAATCTAGGGTTTCTACCCAAAATGAATTTCTTTCATTTTTAAGAAGTGTTCTTGCCAATGGACTTCCAAGAATCACGCATTTCATAAATAACAATCAATTTTATGAAAGAGAAGAGAAATACCATTTTTTAAACACATTCAAAACCTTTACTCAAACCCTAACTCATAACTCAAAGATTTTATCAAGAATAGACTAAGACATACCAAAAATCATATATATAACTCAAAGAAACTCCTTACCTTAAGATTTGGAGGAGAAAGATGAGAAAAGCTCCAAAATCAAAGATGTCGAAATCCAATCTCTACCACACAAAATGTAGTCCGTGATGAGCTCTCCCAAATTTATGGAGGAAGTTGGGTTAAATCTCCAATAAATTTGAAGAAATCAAGATTTTATAGTGGTGGTTGGGTGTTTGTAGAGAGAAAGGACATGAAATATGTTTTCAGATATATATATATATATACATATGAGTGAAAATGAGATACACTCAGCCCAAGGAGAAAAAAAGAAAAAAAATTCAGACACTCAGCATTTCCCGCACGTGTAAAGCGTACTCTTCCGCACATGCGGCACTCACCATTGCACGTGCAGTTATTTAAGAGAAAAACACTCTTAGAAACCTTATCTCACCACACGTGCATCGTCCATTCCCGCATGTGCCCTCCGCTCCTGTAGTTATTTAAGGCTCCAGCCCTCACAAACACACCCTCACCGTACGTGCAGCACACCTTCCTGCCCGTACAGCTCCAATCCTTGCATGTGTGGTTTTGCTACCATTCTAGATTTTGCAAGCTCATGATGATTTCCACCAATCCCGAATCCAACTATGCTCCTGAAACAAAAAAAACTCAACTCCGGAAACCAAAAATGGAGATGTCAATTCGAAAAAGATTTCAAGAGTGGTGAACTTATACAGCCGACAAGGCTTTGAATTAGTTTTGACATCCCGAACACAAGAAATTAAACACAATTAAGAAAGGTATAAAATGGGTTATATACTTGAGACATCAAAGAAAACCACCTTCAACTACTACCATAGGTAACCTACCGACCACCATCTCCGACCATTAGTAATCATTTTCGGCCACCACTTTTCGTGGCCAACAACTACCTTGCCAACTACCTCTCACTGATGGCAACCACCTTCAACCACTACCTCCCACAGCCAACAACCACTTCTGACTATCATTTTCAATCATTGACAACCACCTTCCACAACCATTTCTTTTCACTTGTTTTCAAAACAAATTAAAATATTTTGTACCAAACAAACCATATTTTTTAATTTCGTTTTTAACCAAAATAAACATAAACATGTTTATTTTTTTTGTAAACTAAAAATAGTAAACTATAAACATTGTCAAACGACTCCTGGATGTTTGAAATGCCCAACTTCTAGTTAAATCCTAAACTTTGGTTTGAAGAAATCTAAGGTAGATTTTATTAAAAAAATGGTCAGAGATTCAATTTTATAGATCTATATGATATTATGTCTAGTGATTGACCTGTTATGATTTTAAGAATATGATTAATAAAATATATTAGTAAGAAGTACACGATTATGGTTAATAAAATATATTTGTGTGATTCTGTTTAAAATGAAAAAGAAAAAGAAAAAGAAAAAAGAAATATATTAGTGAGAAAGACAAATCATATATTATTTGTAAGTCACTAGTGTTGGAAAAGTCAAGTAAAAAAAAAAAAAAAAAAAAGTCTTTGACAGATAAGTGGAGAAGTGGAGAAGTGAATAAATAAGTTGACAAGTGGAAATATATTAGACTTTTGGATACTTGGTTTAGGAACATGCTATTTTAATATTTTTTTGACTTTTTATGAAAAGATGTATAAAAAAATAGAGTGATATGATTACTTATAGTAATTTTTTTTGACTTTTTAACTAAACATTTAAGTTGCCAAACGTTGTAGGTAGAACTAAGAATAGTATAAATTCAAAATTATATCTACTTTCTATTCCAAATCCCAATAACAAAACAACAAGTCATAAACAATCACGAATTTGAATAAAAGAGATACTCTTTCTTGAAATATATTAATTCTCAATAATAAATTGATTTATTCTAAGACTTACAACGCTTATTTATAGAAAAGTTAACCCTAATTACGATAGGAAATAAGCTTGGAAAAAAAATAAAGCTTGCCAATCAAGTCTAAATTAAAAACAATACGAAATTTATTAAAAATAGAAAGATTACTAAAATCAAAATTAAATATTCTGAAAAACAAAAAAATTCTAACCTCAAACGGATTCTCCAAGACCAAGTAATTAGCAAAAGAAATATTTTAAAAAATGACAAAAACGTGTGTTTAACGGCCTAAACACATCAAACCTAATCAATCTATAGTCAGTAGTTGTAGTCGGATTTCAGGCATTTAGGAAACTACACTACGGTTATTTGGACTTTAGCTTCTTGAATGTGTTCTTGGTGGTTTTCATGGAAATTATTGTTGTTTATCAGAATAACAACAACGTATGTGTTTGCGTCAAAAATCTCCCATAAACTGTGTCAAAATCATAGCAATGCATATAGTGAACACATCCATTGCAGACTTGGCAAAGTGTCCAAGTCAACAATGATGCTTCTCCATGGATATTGATCATTATATTGACTGGTGTCATGTGCATAGACTAGAAGAGATACTGGTGCAAAGAAGGCTATAGAATTCGTTATGACCAGAAATGTTCTGATGAGATTATCTCAAATATAGCGGCTGTGATGTGTTTTACAAACATAATCATTCCACATGAAGATGATGTGTGTGAAAAAAATAAAGCCAAAATAATCCAATGTAACCCAGGGATTAGACTTTTATTCTGCATAAAATATGTGATTGAGATAGTTCATAAAGACATTCATATGTACAATAACAATAGTAGTAACAAAATGGACAAATTATACGTATATTTTGATTCTTATGTCATTTTGATCCTATAGTTTTAATTGACTCAATTTTGATTATAAATTTATAATTTTGTCTCAATTTGATTAAATGTTTTACGAAAAATGCACACATGAGTGGCATGTGTCATATTTTTAGAGGCAAAATTATAAATTTGATCAACTTAGTGATAATTTTTTGTCAAAAATCCCAACAATATTATCCATTGGACCAAATTGATAGAAAATATAAAATTAGATAAAAATTGAACCAATTGAAAGTATAGAGATCAAATTACACAAAAGGCAAAATTTACGGACTACTAATACAATTTGCCATAATAAAATTATTTTTATAGCTATCTATCTATCTATATTATTATATATGTGAATACTTACTTTCGTGTCTTGAAACTTTTGTTCTCTATCTTTATGTCAAGTGTCCAATTTTCAATTCAAAAAATAAAAAATAAAAAATGGATAGAGAATTAGGTAAGACTTGAACTTAACACTATATATATTTGATAAAGAAGATTCTTACTATTTGAGTTACATACAACATATATACAGCAAAAATATATATTTTTTTGTAATTTTGTTTATTTGATTTGCACACGTATCGTGTATACCAACCGTTAGTATAAAAAGATTTTTGGTTAATTACATTTTTTGTTCCTAAAATATAAGGTTTGTGTCATTTTGGTCTCCCAATATTTAAATTGTGTTATTGTAATCCCCAATGTATAACAATGTTTCAATTTAGTCCCCAAATAAATTGAAATACTTTTATACATTAGAGATCAAATTTATAGAATTTAAATATTAGGGATCAAAATGATACAAAACTCATACTTTGAAGACTAAAAATGTAATTGATCCAAAAATGATAATATTTAAACTACCCATCTTAGTCAAAGTAAGGGCTAACTAAGAAGCACGAATACGGACACTGACACAGATGCAAAAAAAAAAAAGGGGACATGGATACGGCGTAGACACAATAATAAAATATAATATCATATATTTTTATTTGCTAACTAAATTAATATTACATCCATAAACAATAAATATTAATAAAAATTAACTCTAATTCTATTTTTTTTAAAAAAAAAAAACACTTTCAAATCAATACTTACAGTTTATATATTTTTTATGGATGATCTATTAATTCTTTAAATCTAAGAAAAAAATAATAAACATTCAACATTCATCAAAAAAACTAAATAAAATAGAGAAAAAGACAACTTGACAGGTCCCTAGGGTGTTCCCTGAAAATAAATTAATTAAATAAGGGGATACGCCATGTGGTGTGTCTCATATGTGTTTCCAAAGTGTCTGCGTGTCCCTGAAGTGTCCATGTGTCTTGTTGGGTATATCTCTTTAGTAGAGTACGAGACCCAATTGATTTATTAAAATATTTAATTGTGTTAGACTTATTTATTTTGATGATTTATTTAATTATGTTTTAATTTATTTGAAAGAGAAAAATAGAATCAAAATTTATTTTGTCCCATTATTTTTCACCTAAACTTTTATCCTAAATGTTGTTAGAATGTATTTAATATTTGATTAAATCAGGAGTTCAAGCAGCCCAAAACAAATGTTCAAACAGCCCAGCACACAACAGGCCAAAAGGCTCAAAAAGTTCATGTGGAAGATATTCAAATTTGTAATGATGGAGTGAAGATATTCAAATTAGTAATGATGGAGTACAACGGCTATAAACGGCTATAAGTTTCATTATATACACTAAAGTCTCTAATGTAAACAAGTTACTAAAAAAACCAGAAAATATTCTTTGATCTATAATTACTCGCATCTATTCTCTGAAAAATTCTCTGAGAAGTGTTCTTCAATTTTTGTTTACATCCTCTCTCAGAAATTATATACTGAGCCCCATAGCATTAACCTCATCTTTCCTGTGTGAGGTTTACAGAAAAACTAGAGCTTCATTTTTATATCTATCTTTGAGAGATATTTATTGTAAGCTTTCTTTGAAAGCAAAAATACCATTTCATCTTGTAAAAGTGTTGCAAACACTGTGTTCTTGAAATCTTGAGAGTGATTGTGAATCACCTAAGATTTGCAAGGGTTTGGACTTAGAAAGTCTGTGTAAAATCTGTGGAGGATTGCTCCATCTGTGAAAAGGTTGCTAGCACCTTGTGAAGCTAGAAGATAGTGAAAAATCTCAAGTGAAGCTTGAGGAGTGAATATAGGCTTGGTTGAAGCCAAACCACTATAAATCTGTTTGTCTCCTTTTCTCTAATCTCTTTACTTTCCTACTACTGTTATATCTATCTAATATTCATGTGCTAATCATTTGATTTACCCTGTATGTTAGTTATACTTCGTTGTTATTTTTTGCTTGATCATTTACTACTAAGTTCATCATTATATTTGTTAATAATTTGTTGTACTAGTAGTTAATTTTATTGGGGTATTATTAATTTTAATTTGTAGAAACCTAATTTATCCCCCCTCTTAGGTTGCTTTTTAGGTAGCAATTGGTATCAGAGCCTGAGGCTCTTGTTTAGATTTAACAATCTTGAGTTTTTGATCCATAGCAACAATGTATTCTATTTACTCTGCTGTAGGACAAGCTAGCAATAAGCCACCTCTCTTTGATGGTAGTAATTACATTCATTGGAAAGAAAAAATAACTTTGTATCTTCAAGCTATCAATTATGCTTTGTGGCTCATTGTCACTAAAGGTCCTAAAATTCCTACCAAGATAGTAGACTATATCAGTGTGCCGAAACTTGAGGATGAATTTGATGAGTGTGATTATAAACTCCTTCGAGCTAATGCTAAAGCCAAGTTTATTCTTGTGTGTAAACTAGATGCAAATGAGTACAATAGAATTTCTGAGTGTATTACTGCTAAAGAGATTTGGGATAAACTTGAAATCACCTATGAAGGAACTAGCCAAATAAAAGAGTCTCAGATTGACATGCTTATTCATGATTATGAACTTTTTACTATGGAATCATTTGAATATATTTCTAAGATGTTTTATAAATTTACCAATATTATTAATACTCTAAAGTCTCTTGGTAAATCTTATACTAACGATGAGCTTGTAAGAAAAATACTTAGGTCTTTGCCAAATGAATGGGAAGCTAAGGTTACAGCTATCCAAGAAACAAAAGACCTAACAAAATTAGGCATTGAAGAACTATTAGGCTCACTTATGGCTCATGAACTTTCAATGATGGATGGCAGCAAAAAGGAAGCCATTTGGGAAGAAAATGATGGAGTAGCCAACCTGTGTCTCATGGCTCTTGGAGAAGAAGAATCCACTCAAGATGAGATAATTTCTAATTATATAGAACTTGAAAGTTATTTCAATGAATTACATGACATATTTAGAAACGTTTGTGTTAAGAATTCTAAATTAAAGAAATTAGTTACTTCTCTTTCAAATGATGTGGGTGCTTTAAAAATGGAAAATGTTATTTTGAAAAATGGCTTTACGTCTATTGCCAATGAGAAAAATATTTTGAAAAACAATGTTGAGGATTTAAACAAAACTCTTGAAAATTTTGTAAAAGAAAAAGAAAACCTCAACAAGCTTCTTGGAAATAAAAGATGTGTTTTTGACAAAGTAGGCATTGGTTTTGATTCTCCTAAACCTTTTATGAGATTAAATGTTCTTAAGACTAATCCTCATGGACCCAAGAAAGTATGGGTACCAAGAAAGAAATCAAGATATTTTGTAGGTGGAATCTCAAAGAACACCAAGGACTTTGAGAGGAAATGCACAACAAGAGTGTTCAATCTAAAGAGCAAAATCAGCTCCTACAAGAAGAAGAATGATGAAATGAAAATCACCAAGATGAACAATGGAGGTAATGTATGGGTGAAGATTCCAAAGAGGTAAATGAAGGTATAACTCCTAACACACCTTTAAGCTTAAAGTTCTATATTCTTTATGGTGTGATTTGTGTACAATAGGTTGTGTCTAATCATTGCTTCCATGTAACCTAATTGTAGTAAGTTTGCTAAGTCATGTTCTGCTAGTTTCTTTGAAACATTCATTGAACTCAAAAATAGGAATTATATTATTTTGATGAATGCCTATTAGAATATGAATGATTCATGTATTCATTAACATTTTATATCATGTCATCCATTGCTATGAAAAAGAGATAAGAAGTGATTCATTTTTTTGTGAGCATACTTTTCACATCTTATATATGACTTCGTACTAATATGTTAATTCCTTTTTGAGTCATATCTTTGTAGAATCAATTTTGATGTCATAGCATGCTTTTGAGATGTATACTATCTATATTTTGAATTCTACATTTGTGATCTCAAGAATATTCTCAATATGAAAATTTCATGCTTATATGCTTTACATTGGAATATTTGAATGAGTTGTGAAATTCCTTGATTATGATCCATCAACAATGTCTAAATGAAAAGAAGTATCATATATTTGTAGAGACATTGCATTTATCCGATTGAATATCTTTTGAATATGGATTATATTGGCATACATCTCATGAAATGCTTTTGATTGATAAATTGTTGAATTAATTGTTTATAACATTCATGTTGTGTTCCATATTGAGTAAAATGTTTTATCACACTTGAGCATGTGGATTGAATTGATGAAAATACCTCTTGATAATGTTATGTAATTAAATGAGATTGTTGCATCATTTTTTAATAAAACAAAGAGCATAAAACTATTTTCTTATGCATATTATGCTATGCGTTACAACTTGAAAATTCTGAAAAATAGCATTCCAAACTCTTGTTTGATCATTGAATTATTTTTCACCTTTTTAGTTTGTGAGAAGAAGTGATTTGTGTTGTATTTTT